ATAGTTTCTGGTCTTACATTTAGATCTTTAATCCATTTTTAGTTTATTTTTGTGTATGGTGTTAGAAAGTGCTCTAGTTTCATTCTTTTACAGGTGGTTGACCAGTTTTCCCAGCACCACTTGTTAAAGAGATTGTCTTTTTTCCATTGTATATCCTTGTCTCCTTTGTTGAAGATAAGGTGACCATAGGTTCGTGGATTTATCTCTGGGCTTTCTATTCTGTTCCATTGATCTATATTTCTGTCTTTGGCACTCAGCCTTCTTAATGGACCAGCTCTCACATCCCTACATGACTGTTGGGAAAACCGTATCCCTCACTTATACGGATGTTTGTTGTCAAAGTGATGGCTCTGCTTTTGTCCAGGTTTGTCATAGCTTTCTTTCCAAGAAGCAAGCAACTTTTAATTTTATGGCTGCAGTCACCATCTGCAGTGATTTTGGAGCCCAAGAAGATAAAATCTGTCATTGCTTCCACTTTTTCCCTTTCCATTTGCCATGAAGGTATGGGACCAGATACCATGGTCTTAGTTTTCTTAATGTTGAGTTTCAAGCCAGCTTTTTCACTGTACTCTTTCATCCTCATCAAGAAGCTCTTTAGTTCCTCTTCGTTTTCCCCCATTAGGGTGGTATCATCTGCATAACTGAGGTTGTTGATATTTCTTCCAGCAGTCTTGATTCTCACTTGTGATTCATTCAGCCTGGCATTTCACATGGTGAGATGTGAATTTCACATTTCCCTGGTGGGTCAGATGGTAAAGGATCCGTCTCCAATGTGGGAGACCTGGGTTTGATCCCTGGGTTGGGAAGATCCCCTGGAGGAGGGCATGGCAACCAAGTCCAATATTCTTGTCTGGAGAATCCCCATGGATAGAGGAGCCTGGCGGGCAACATTGGTTGCAAAGGGTCAGATACGACTGAGCGCACACACACACACACACTCTCTGTATATGAGTTAAATAAGCAGGATAATAGTATACAGCTGTGATGTACTGCTTTCCCAGTTTCGAACCAATCCATTGTTCCATGTTATAACTGTTGCTTCTTGACCTGCATACAGGTTTCTCAGGAGACAAGTAAGGTGATCTGGTATTCCCGTCTGATAATTTTCCGTAGTTCGTTGTGATCCACACAGTTGCAGAATGTGAGATCTTTTAGCTGTGTCACATGGGATTGAATTCCCTGCCCAGGGATCAAGATTGAGCCCCCTGCATTGCGAGCATGGAGCCCTAGCCACTGGACCACCAGGGAAGTCCCAAAGATTCTTATTTGTAAAACTCTCATTTTATGCTACTTGTGATGGTAAAATAGTACCGGGTGCAGGAGTAGATAGTTCTTAATATAAAAATTTGGTTCTAGTCCAAGAAGCCTAGAAGGAAAAAGAAAAGATAAGAACTTCTGTTCTTTGCAAATATGGAATATAGGATTTGTCTGTCATTATTGTGAATGACCTGTTTGAACACTCAAGAGTAACACCATAATCTTGGACCCTCAGACAGACAGATTGGAGTTAAACAAAATTCCTCAGACATTTTTATTCACTTGGGAAACCCAAGGCAGACATAAGGCATTTCCCCTCTTTATCAGAAATTTCTGGCATCAAATTCATATCTTCATTTGATCCTTTAGGACTCAGTTTTATTGAGGCCAGTTTTCTCAGATTTGAAATTGGACAGGGTTCCCAATCGGGTAGCTTTCTTCCACTCCTAAATCACTATCTGTGTAGCTAGTTTTAAGGAATTTTGTTTCACCTTTGGGTTGTTTAAGGTATAGAACAGGAACCTTCTTTAGAGTATTCCCAATTGTTTATACTGTTACTTTTCTCCTTGAAATAATGCCAGTGTGTTTCTCCCAACTACTCCACCTCCCTGTTCCCACTTTGACTTAAGCATGAGCACTGATGTGCAGTGGGAGAGCCCTCCCAGTCTTCACTTCGGTGATCTCACGTGGGCTGTGATTCAGGGTGACGGTCTTGTGACAGAAGTAATGGAGGGGGTGTGAGAGACATCAGACTTCCATCTGCTGTTGTTTCATTGTTAAATTAACAAGGGCTAATGTCTGTCTAGAACTGTTGCAGTAAATTTTAACCATAACGCTCATCAGCCAGAATTTACAGAGAGCCTAGTGGTTTTTTCCTTGGTTCTTTATGCCTTTTTCTTAGATTTTGTTTCTCTCCTTTTCTTCTGCTTGTAAACTTGGTGTCTCTTTCCTTACAGGGTGATTAAGGAAGTGGATGCCACATCTAAAGAAGCCAAATCCTTCTTCAAGCAAAACGAGAAAGAAAAACCCCAGCCTAACATTCCTTCATCTGTGCCGTCACTTCCTGCCGGGTCAGGGTGAGTAGTCTCGTCTCAGGCCGAGGTGTACCTGGCACATTGGAGAAGCTATTTTCACAGCAAGGGCGCCCTTACCTGTAGCTCTCATGGTTCCTTTCCTGGGAGAAGGAATTCCACTGCTGTTCTGTCTTTGCTGAAATACCTGCCAACATGGAGGATGCAGAGAATAGTGCTTGCAGAATGGAGGATGCAGGCTTCTTGTTTGATTCTGAGCAAAGTCCTGGTTTACAGTGTTGGCCACAGAGCTGAACATATAGTAGACTTCACATTTAAAAAATGATTTTTTAATGTAAATATCAGCAGTTTATCATAACTTGTAATAAAGATTTGAGTTGAATACTTCCTTCCACCCCAAGGATCTCCTAGGAACAAAAAAAGGTCAAGGGTGACTTACAAATAATTTTATTAGCACATTGTCAAGAACTTAACAGTTTTTCTCCCTTCATACTTTCCATAGTACATGAGTTATTTTGAGCTGAAGACTAGAATTCTTTCCTTGGAAGAAGGAAAAATTTCTTTCTTCTTAATCTACATGTAGTAAGTAAAGCCATCAGTTAAGTAGGAGGGGTCAGGGCATTCGCCTCAAGAGAGGTGAACACGGGCCATTCACTCCCATCACAGCACTGACCACCTCTGGCTCCTGAGCAGAGCTCTCTCTTCTTGAGGTGTTTGGGGTGGAACAAGTCACCTATAGTTGATTTGCTGACCTTTCAGTTTGTTGCTTCATCCTTTCCCCCTAAAACGGTGAAGTTTTGTTTTGTGTTTTTTTTTTTGTGACGGCTGAGATAAAATAGGAGGCTCTAAGCTAAAGCAACATGCTTTTAGCTTTCTAGTCATGATATTGTCTGAGAGGGATTCTCTGCAGACCAGTGACTTTCAGACATTATTGACTGCCACTCACAATAAGAAATATATCTTATATTATGACTTAAGTGAAGTGAAAGTCGCTTAGTCGTGTCCGACTCTTTGCGGCCCCATGGACCGTAGCCTGCCAGCCTCCTCTGTCCATGGTATTTTCCAGGCCATAATACTGGAGTGCAGTTCTCTTCTACATTCCCTTCTCCAGCGAATCTTCCCAACCCAGGCATTGAACCCTGGTCTCCCTCATTGCAGGCAGGGTCTTTACCGTCTGAGCTACCAGGGGATCCCTAGTTATGACTTAGTCTACCCATAAATATAGGTGTGTATGGTGACTTCTATTTTATGTCTATTATTATGTGTAGTATGTTTTTTGAAAGAATGTTGTGACCCATTGAATCAATTTCACAATCTCTTACCTGTATTTAACTAATACTGCTGTAAACTACATATAGAATTAGCCTTCTGCAGGCATGTCTCTGGGTTAACAGGCTTGTATCTGATATTATTAAATAATGCCTCTTGGATTTATTGAAAGTGTTACTGTGAAACTTACTGTGGATTAAGTGCTGGATAGAAATAAAGTCAGAGTTTCTTCTGCCTTAGATTTCTAGCCTAGTTAGTTTCAAGTAGCATAATTTTTATTTCTAGCTTCCTTGGTGTTTCTTAAAATAGAGATTCTACTTGGAAACAGCGTGTTTCAGAAAATACTGTTCCATAATTCTGAAGGTAACCGGAGGAGGGAGAAATGGCATCTTGGCAAGGTCACCTTGTTTAAGTCACTGAGTCAGTCATGAAAATCTCACTGTATTCTGTATTCACGCCTTTCTTTCTTAGAAAGAGCTACTAGCCTTTCAGAGATAAGAAATCGGCTATGTTTTAGTGGGAACCAGAAGGAAACAGATGGCATCCTCAAATTAGGACACCTCTCGAGATTTTGAGAACTCACAATGTAATAAAAGACTACACAGATAGTGAGAGTGCGGTATCCCTGCGATTAGTAATAATGAGGCTCCGTCACCACCCCTCGACCTGAGGGGCACGGCAGGGAGCAGCCTGTGGCAGTGAGGATAAGGAGGACCTCCTGTCAGGAGATGAGAGCTGTGCTTGCGCGATGGATCATCCAGGGGGATAAATAATCAAATATCCCATTCCTCCGTCCGTCCTTTCTCTGCTGGGGACTCCATTGGCCACTGAGGCTCATGGAAGAAAAAATGATCCTCTACTTGTTAAAATGCAAGGAAGATTTATTCAGGATTATTGCAGTGGGTATTAACAACTGTCACACTAGGGGAGAAAGATCAGGCTTGGCTTTTTACTTTTTAGTTTTTTTTGTGTTCCGTTGCTTTACGATGTTGTGTTAGTTTCTGCTGTACGGCAGAGCGAGTCAGTTATGCGTATCCATGCACCCCTCTCTTTTGGGTTTGCTGCCTGCTAGGTCACCACAGAGCGCTGAGCAGAGCGCCTTGTGCTGTAGAGCAGGTTCTCATTCTTGCCTGTTTTATTCACAGTGTAAATGTGTCAGTCCCCTTCTCCCAGGTCATCCTGTCCCCCCTTTTCCCCTTGGTATCCATGCCTTTGTTCTCTGCATCTGTGTCTGTGTGTGCTTTGTAAGTAAGATCATCTATACCATTTTGTCAGATTTCACACATAGGTGTTAATATACGGTATTTGTTTTTCTGACTTAACTTCAGTGTGTATGACAGTCTCTAGGTCCATAAACATCTCTACAAAGGACTTGGTTTCATTTTTCTTTTTCTGCCTGAGTAATGTTCCATTGTACAGATGTACCCCATTTTCTTTATCCATTCCTCTATTGACAGACATGTAGGTTGTTTCCATGTCCTGGCTATTGTAAATAATGCCACAGTGAACAATTGGGGTGCATGTGTCTTTCTGAATTATGGTTTTCTCTGGGTGTATGCTCAGTGGTGGGATTGCTGGGTCACATAGTAGGTCTGTTTTTAGTTTGTTAAGAAAGCTGTATGCTGTTCTCCATAGTGGCTGTATCAGTTTACATTCCTACCAACAGTGCAAGGCGGTTCCCTTTTCTCCACACTCTCCAGCATTTATTGTTTGTCGATTTTGTGATGATGACCATTCTGACTTGTGTGTATCTCATTATAGTTTTCAGGCTTAACTTTGAATACAGCAAAGAGAGCTGGGGATTTATGGCCAGGGAGCAGAATTAGGGGTGGGAGGATGGTCTGTGAATGGACCAGTGCTGAGCAGAGACATCAGAGGTGAGAAGATTCTGTCTCAACTGACCCAACAGGGTTCTTGTTGAAGGCGGGCCAAGGACTTATACATCAAAGGCAGGAAATGAGGAAATTGTTCATACTGAGCGTGGTCAGCTATCAAGGGTGGGCGATTCTGTTTAACCTGATTTAGCAGAATTCTTGCTAAAATTGAGCTCTGCAAGCCCAACAAGGAGGGGGGCCGAGTTTGAGACCTCATGGAGAAGAGGTTTCAAAGGAGCCTGACTAAAGTTGGATCAAAAAGAGAGTCTGTTGTCAATACACCCATACAGGACAGCATCTGGGGCAAGGAGCAGCATGGAGACGGACACAGGGCCATCCAGATGGGTCAGCCAGTGTGTCCCTCAGCAGATTAAAGAACTCACTCCTTCATGACAGGGTGAAGTGGAACTTGAGCTTCTTTGAAAGCTATAATGAAACATAACAAGATTACAAGGATGTGTCTGGCTGAGTAAAAAAGTCCTCACAGTTTGTACATGAAAACAGGGACACATTTCATTAATGATACATGGACTTTGACTTTCTCAATAAATCCCAGAAGATGACCTTCAAGATTGAGATGATCATTCTTCTGAGATTTATCTCGAAAAATGTCCACAGTGGTGGTAGTTGTACTTGGGAAAAGACAGGGTCAAAAGGAATTCCGTTGCTCTGAGGTGTCTAGCACTATTTTATCAGTGCAGACATCAGTGTGTGCTGCAGGCTGCACACACACAGTATGGAGAGTCTTCAGGAGAAGCGTCTACAGGAGATAGCAGATTTATTAAATGAATTTTATTTAACGCAGGAAAATATTTTTTCAGTGTTGGAATTGTTTCACTTAATAGAGGTTGCCCAGCAGAAACACTTTGTTTGTTTATTTCTCTCCTCTCTAAACAGATTTAAGCAATACAGGAAAACCAGAGCAGGAGAGTAAAACATCCTGTCCCACATCCTTTGCTAGAATCATAGGAGCAAACGTTTGTAACTGAAAATGCATTTCCTCCACATGTTTAAAATAGTACACTGCTTTGGCTTAAAAAATCCAAAGTTTATACTTTGGGGATAGAGTAAACCAAACATCCAGTTTTCACTGGAGGCAGGAATCAGAGATGACAGTTAACTCTACAGTTGGTAGAAGAAGCACCATGCTCATCCTACTGTCTGAATTCTCCTGGTCCTGTTACTCTAAGCGCTCTATCCACTTCTCACCCTCCACTCCCCTCCAGCCCTGTTGACCAGTTGAATCCAGCTTCTGTCAGTGTTTGTGGGTGTTTGGCTGGTACATTCACTGCTTGTCTTCAACCCAGCATTTACTACATACTTTATTCCAACAGTGGGCAGCCATTAGTCCCATTCAAGTTTATGATCCCAGCCAGAGACATTAACTTATTTGGTTAAGGGCTTACTGTTTTAGATTCCTCTTTATAGACTGAGAATGATCTAAGCCAGTAAAACATAAGGGTTCAAGACATCATTTTCCTGTGTAATTTTGTGTTGTCACCTAGATCTCCTGAGGAAGGAAAAAAGGCTTCATTGTTGAGTCTCAGACATCATCATGGGTGGTGTCAGGTTAGCACTGTTTGCCCCAAAAATAGAAGAGAGGATTCCTCACAGTGTCACACTGCTGGTTGAAGACCTGTTGGTATTGAGTGTGTTTGAGCTGTCCATCCCCAGGACCTTCACTTCATACAACAGAGTCTGTCTGAGCCATTGATCTCTCCCAAACTCCTTGGACATGAGTTAATAAAACCTTGTTGACTTTTAAGTTTCAATATATAGTCTTTGATAGAGATCATTGAGCATTTCACTTCAAGCAACAAAAATCAAACATAGCCACAGCACTGGGTTGGAAAAGTTTCTAATTTTTGATCTTAATCTCATTATTAATCATTCAGACTTCTA